ATGCCCAGCTAATTTTTTGTAGTTTTAGTAGAGATGGGGTTTCACCATGTTGACCAGGATGGTCTTGATCTCTTGACCTTGTGATCCACCCACCTTGGCCTCCCAAAGTGCTGGAATTACAGGCTTGAGCCACCGCGCCCAGCCTTCCAATTCTTTACTGAGATTATTTCACATGAATTATAGATAAATTGTGTGTTAGAAGTAGTATTTCTGTTAGTGTTCATCATTAAGTATACTGTGTATACTTTATTCTGATGATATTCCTTAATTGACAATTTCAGATTTTTGATCACCATACTGAAGAGCATATAGATAAAAATGCTAACAGTGTATTGATAAAAAGCCTGAGCAGGACCCCATCTAGTTGCAGCAGCTCTCTGGATTCGATCAAGGCTGATGGGACCTCCCTGGACTTTAGCAGTAAGATCTTCATGAAAGCTAAATAATACCAGCCATCTGCTTACTTGACTAACAATAAATATATCTTAGTTCAGGAAATATTTTAATGTTGTATATGCCATTTTGGGGTTATAAAAAGTTGATTAGTAAAATAATATTTGGTTTATTTTTAATTCTTAGTTATTTTAATGCATTGAGAAGTGACATACTACGAAGAAATAGAGTGATTTCCTTCATGGGCTTATAATTAGTGGATGAACATTGGATTTTAAAACTATGTGTACTTTGCCCTGCTTACATGACTTCCTTCCCAGAAAGATCACAAAGATCACAGTGGGTGGCTTCAGGATTATAAATGATCTGAATGATAACTACAATTAAGTTCAAAGTTTAGTTTTGACTTGTTCCTCACCAGAATTTCCTTTACTTTTAGCTTACCGCAGTAGTCAAATGGAATCACAGTTTCTCAGAGATACTATTTGTGAAGAGAGCTTGAGGGAGGTATGTTAAAATTATTATTATTTTTATTTATTTACAAAGAAAAGAAGTTTAAATGTCTCATTTCTAATACAAGTAATTTTCTTGGTTTGAGTTTTCTTTTAATTATGAAATATTTTAAATCTACAGAAGACTACTTTGTTAAAGATCCAACATAGCAATTAATTAAATGGAGTAGAAGTCATGATTAAAAGGTATTTGTTTTGGCTGGGTATGGTAGTGCATGCCTGTAATCCCGGCCAGAGAATCACCTGAGCCCAAGAGTTCAAGGCTGCAGTGAGCCATGATCACACAACTGCATCCCAGGCTGGGCGATAGAGCAAGACCTTGTCCCCCCCCCAAAAAAAGGAAAAAAAGGTGTATTTTTTGGGTTTTTGGATTTTTTTAAAGTCTATTGTTATTTAATAACCTTAAGAAATAGTCTTAGATAAAAATCTGCTGATTTATAGCCTGCAGATATCTGGATAATATTTCCATAAATATATACAAGGTACTTTAAGCTTTTAGAAACAAAAATGAGCTGGTTATATCAAAGTGAGATCATATTGAATGGTCATGCAAACTTTTTTTCTTTTCTCAGAAACTCAAAGATGGGAGAATAACAATAAGAGAGTTCTTTATACTTCTCCAGGTCCACATCTTGATACAGAAACCCCGACAGAGCAATCTTCCAGGCAATGTAAGTGCTGTTTCTTGGCGAGCTAGTTATCTCAGTTAACATATATATTGCACTTTTTATTAAACTGCACCAAAGCAAACATTTATTTAAAAGCATAAAAAGAATGAAAGCAAATTTTCCTGTAGTTTTCTTATAGTAGATACATTTGTGGTTAGCATAAACAAAACCCAAAAATTTTTACATGGATTTTTTTTAATCGTGGATTTTGATAAGATAAAATTTTAATTTTTTCTTCATTCCTTACCATCTATTTTTTTAATACAGTGTCCTGATTATAAAACTAACATGGTTTTTCCTCCCTTATAAAAATCTAAGGGTAGCAGAGGTTTTTAATGAACAATTTTCAGAATCAAACATGTAAACTGAATACAGTGGCAGGGTACTTGTAATCCCAGCTACTTGAGAGGCTGAGGTGGAAGAATCACTTCAACCCAGGAGTTTGAGGCCAGCCTGGGCAACATATCAATATTCCATCTCAAAAAATTTAAGATCATAGAATATTTTAATAATATAATCAACAAACTCAATTGAATAGAAAAACTTGTGTTCCTTACATGGGAATATTTTTTCTCTTAAGTCTATCAAACATTTCCAAAAGTTAGTTATACTCTTGACCACAAAGAAAACATTAATAAATTGAAAAAAATGGAGGTTTTAAGGAGACGACTTTTAATCTTGATTCAATAAAATTAAAACTAACAAAAGAACCAAAATATTCTGAGATTCCTTTTTTTTTTTTTTTTTTTAGACGGGGTTTTGCTCTGTCACCAAGCTGGAGTGCAGTGGCGCGGTCTCGGCTCACTGCAACCTCTGCCTCCTGGGTTCAAGCGATTCTTCTGCCTCAGCCTCCTGAGTAGCTGGGACTACAGGCGCGTGCCACCACACCCAGCTAATTTTTGTATTTTTAGTAGAGATGGGGTTTCATCATGGCGAGAATGGTCTCGATCTCTTGACCTCGTGATCCACCCGCCTTGGCCTCCCAAAGTGCTGGGATTACAGGCCACCACTCCCAGCCCTGAGATTCTTAAAAATTGAGAAACATACTATCTTTTAGACGAAGGGTCCTGAATGCCTGGGGTTAGGAACTGGGTCACACAGCAGAAGGTGAATTGTGGTGAGCTAGCAAAGCTTCTATATTTACAGCCACTCCCCATCGCTTGCGTTACCACCTGAGCTCTGCCTCCTATCAGATCAGCAGTGGTATTAGATTCTCATAGGAGTGTGAACCCTGTTGTAAACTGCACACACAAAGGTCCCATCTGGGGATGATGAGAGGTACTGACAGATCATCACGCATTACATTCTCATTAGGAGCTGGGACTACAGGCGCCCGCCACCACAGCCTGGAAAACAGAGCAAAACTCTGTCTCAAAAAAAAAGATTATAATGGAGCTGGAAAATTTCCATTGCCTAGTGACACTGTAATGTAGCACATCGCATTACTCACATGTTTGTGGTGATGCTAATGTAAACAAACCTGCGCTGCCAGTCCTGTTAAAGGATAGTACATATAATTATGTACAATAACATAATACTTAATAATGATAACAAACCATTAAGTTATTGTATTATGTATTTACTATAGTTTACTCTTTATTGTTACATTATTTTATTTTTTTGAGCCAGAATCTCGCTTTGTCACCCAGGCTGGTTGGCTCACTGCAGCCTCAACCTCCTGTACTCAAGTGATTCTCTTGCCTCAGTCTCCCAAGTAGCTAGGATTATACACACAAGCCACTACACCTGGCTACTTTTTAAATGTTTTGTAGAGAGATGGGGTCTCACTATGTTGACCAGGCTGGTCTCAAATTCCTGGCCTCAAGCAATCCTGTCTTGCCGCTCAAATGCTGGAATTGCAGACGCAAGCCACCGTGCCTGGCCTTTATTGTTACTTTAGAATGTAATCCAACTTATAAATAAAACAGGTTAACTATAAAACAGCCTCAGGCAAGTCCTTCAGGAGTTATTTCAAAAGAAGGCATTGTTATCATAGGAGATGATAGCTCCATGGATGTTATTATTCTTTAAGACCTTCCAGTAGGACAAGAAGTGGAGGTGGAAGACAGTGATATTAATGACCTTGACCCTGTGTAGGCCTAGGCTAATGTGTGTGTTAGTATCTTAGTTTAAGTTTGAAAAGCTTTAAAAAATTTTAAATTTTAAAATTGAAAAAAGTTTATAGAATAAGGATATAAAGGAAAAATATTTCTGTACAGCTGTACAATGTGTTCATGTTTTAAGCTAAATAGCAATATAAAAGAGTCAAGAAGTAAAAAGTTATAGTAAGCTAAGGTTAATTTATTCTTAAATACAAGGCCAGGCTTGTGGCTCATGCCTGTAATCCCAACACTTTGAGAGGCTGAGGCAGGTAGATCACGAGGTCAGGAGTTCAAGACCAGCCTAGCCAAGATGGTGAAACCCTGTCGCTACTAAAAATAGAAAAATTAGCCGGGTGCAGTGACAGACTAAAATCTACTAAAAATACTTCTAATATCTACTAAAAATACAAAAATTAGCTGGGCGTAGTGGCACACGCCTGTAATCCCAGCTACTCAAGAGGCTAAGGCAGGAGAATCACTTGAACCCTGGCGGGTGGAGGTTGCAGTGAGCCGAGGTCGGGCCACTGCACTCCAGCCTGGGTAACAGAGTAAGACTCCGTCTCAAAGAGTAGCCTGTGCATGAGCATAATATTCATTGGCACTTTTATTCTTGGCAGATCTCTGGGAACATGGTCTTGTACTTCACTTTATGTGTTAGGAAAGTTTGTGATGAAACCTTTTTTAAAAAAAATTTAGTCTCATAGAAAATTTCAAACATATCCAAAAATAGAGTAGTTTTATTAATCCTTGTGTGTCTGTCACCCAGCTTCAAAAATTACCAACTCTTGGCCTGGTGCTGTGGCTCATACCTATAATCCCAGTACTTTGGGAGGCCTAGGCAGAAGGATCACTTGAGGTCAGGAATTCGAGACCACCATCCTGGCCAAGATGGTAAAACCCCCCTCTACCAAAAAAGTACAAAAATTAGCCGAGAGTGGTGGTGCGTGCCTGTAGTCCCAGCTATTTGGGAGGCTAAGGTGAGAGAGTCACTTGAACCTAGGAGGTGGAGGCTGCCGTGAGCTAAGATCACACCAGTGCACTCCAGCCTGAGCAACAGAGTGAGATCTTATCTCAAAATTTAAAAAAATTATCAGCTCCTAAAAAAAACACAGAAAGAAAAAAAAAATCTACTCTCACTTTTTTCTCTACCTAACCTTCTATTTCCCCTCCTCCATTATTGTGAAGCACATCCCAAGCATCATCAATCAATCTGTAAGTATTAAAATATGTATCCCTAAGAAGATGAAGACTCTTATTTTAAAAATGTATCCAATACCATAGTCATACCATAAAATGGTTATTCAGTCAGTGTTTATATTTCCCTGATCATCTTAGGCCTTTTTTTTTTCCAGTTTGTTATCTTGGATCCAAATGAAATTTAAACATTGCAGTTAGCTGAACTCTCTCTCTAGTCTTATAATCTGTAAGGTCCTTTTCCATCTCTTTTTCTTATTTTGTATTTAAAATTTTTTTGATCTTTATTTTTTCGTCCTTCCTTCCTTTTAATAAAGAAACCAGATTTTTCCTGTAGAGTTTACCACAGTCTGGATTTTGCTAATTGTCCATACCCAATATTTCTTTGTCCTTGTGTTTTTTGTAAATTGATAGAAGCTTGATCAGATTAACAGATTTTGGTTTTTTTTTTTTCAAGTTTATTGTAATTCCATTAGAAGATAGATAATATAATGTCTGGTGATGATATGTATGCAGCCATTAATTCATTAGGAGTTGTAAAGTAGTGATATGCTCCAGGTTGAGCATCCCTGATCCAAAAAATCAAAAATCTGAAATCTCTAAAACCCAAAATTTTTGTGTGCTGACATGGTGCCACAAGTGGAAAATTTCATACTTGACCTCATGTAATGGGTTGCTGTCAAAATGTACCGTGAGTCAGGAATGAAGGTGATGCCTAACAACCACAGATAGTCCACATGGGTGACTGAGATAGTGATACCTTACCTTTATGATGATTCAATGTATATAAGCTTTGTTTTGTGCAAATTATTTAAAATACTGAATGAAATTACTGTCAGGCTATATGTATAAGATATATATGAAACATAAATGAATTTAATGTATAGACAGGTTCCATACCCAAGATATCTCATTATGTATATGTAAATATTCCAAAAATTTGAAAAAAATCCAAAATACTTGGCCAGACGTGGTGGCTCATACCTGTATTCCCAGCACTTTGGGACACCAAGGTGGGCCAATTGCCTGAGCTCAGGAGTTTGAGACCAGCTTGGGCGACATAGTGAAACCCCGTCTCTACTAAAAATACAAAAAATTTAGCCAGTGTGGTGGCATGCACTTGTAGTCACAGCTACTCAGGAGGCTGAGACAGGAGACTCACCTAAACCTGGGAAGCAGCAGTTGCAGTGAGCCAAGATTGCACCACTGCACTCCAGCATGGGCGACAGAGTGAGACTCTGCCTCCAAAAAAAAAAAAAAAAAATCCAAAATACTCTGGTTCTAGGCATTTTGGATAAGGGATACTCAACCTGTAATTCTGTAATCTCTTATTTATTGTCTAAATACTTCTATAAAGACATATTTCTTCATGAATTGTTTGGTTCCTGTAGGAAAGGCAGTCCATTTCTCCAAGGACTCCTGATTTCTTTTTGTGGGGGAAATGGTATTTAGAAAGCCCAATCTGTCATTTATTTATATTTAGAGATGGCTCATTTTGTCACCGTGCCCAGCTAATGTTTAAAAACTTTTTTAAAGACAAAGTCTTTAAAGAACAGGGATCTGGGAAATAAAAAAAGATAATAAAAAAATAATAAAGACAAGGTCTTGCTGTGTTTCTCAGGCTGGTCTCAAGTTCCTGGCCTCAAGTGACGCTCCCAACCTCCTAATCCCAGGAGTGTAATCTCAACCTCCTGGGATTACAGCACGAGCCACTGTGCCTGGGTTTG